TCTAGGCCAGGGGTTGGCTTCTCTCCCTGCAGAGACCACCCTTTCCCGCCCCTCTGCCCAGCTGCCCTGGGATTTGTGTCCCAGCCCTGCCCAGCGTTCATCCTGGATGATCTGCACGTAGGCATGGCGCCTCACTGGGTCAGAGTGGTGTCTGGGTGAGCAGGTGGAGGGCTCTCCTCACTGCCTGGCGGTGTCCTGTTCCCCCCGCTGCTCTCATACCCAACCTGGTCCCCAGCTGGGGCATCTCACACCCAGATCTGCTGCCCATTGGTGCAGTGCCGCCAATGCAGGCGCTGACCTTGGTCTCCGGGACTCCCTCTGTCCCTGCAGTTCAACACTCTGCTCCTGCCTTGCTGGGATCCCATGTCCCTGAACCCTCCTGCTGGCAGTCTTGCCCGGTGACCCTGCTACAGGATTGCCCCACCACCCCCGGCACACTCCCTTATCCAGAGGCTGTGCAGTCACATGTGGACCCCCGAGGTGGCCTGTGGCTCCCTGCTCACGGCGGGGCTGAAAGGGGGCTCTCCAGTCATGCCCTGCCCTGGCTTCTTGCCTAAGGCCCTGGCCCTCATGGGACAAGCATGGTCCTCATGCCCTTGGCTCTGCCAAGGCCTCTGAGACCCCGCCCTAGAGAGACCCCGGCCCACCCAGCCTGGCCCTGCAGCAGTATGCCAAGGACCCCCAAATCTGGCCTGGCTGCTGCCAGGGTGACCACCAGGGGCAACTGTCAGATAGAGGGCGGTGGCTGGGTCCAGTGTGTCTGCGTGACCGCAGGGCTCGAAAGCCCTGTCCTGCGCTTGGCCCGCCTGCATCAGTGAAACTGGACTCCTAAGTCAGGGTTGGGTCCTCCCAGGGTCGTGTCCTCTGGGACCTGGGGCGAGTCACTCCGCCTCAGTGTCATCATGGGCAGAACCTCTCACGTGTAGCCATTGAAATCTTTCAAACTGAGTAGGAAAAGCCCTGTATTTTCTGAGCCCTATTATCATAGACCAGTACTGTCCTAAGTGTACTCTAGGGACAGACAGTGGCCAGCCCCGTAGCTCAGTCATTTCTGTTTAAAGGGTGAACAGGCTGGGTGCAATGCTTGAAAATCAAGCATGGAGTGGAACCCAGTGGGCCATGTATGGCTCTCACACCCATGAGTCATTCACACGATGCCACTTGGTCATTGCTGTCCCACCTGAAATGCAGCACTGGTGGGCGAGACCCTCTGGGCATGTTACCTGAGGGATGCGGCTCCAGCTCCTTATGCCCAACTCTGGGCATCACTTTTTTTTTTTTTGACAGCATCTGGCTCTGTTGCCCAGGCTAGAATGTGGTGGTGTGATCATAGCTCACTGCTGCCTCAAACTCCTGCAATCAAGGAATCCTCCTGCCTCAGTCTCTTGAATAGCTGGGACTACAGGCATGTGCCACCACGCCCGGTGAATTTTTGTTTTTTTTCTGCAGAGAGGGTTATGTTGCCCAGGCTGGTCTCAAATTCCTGGGCTCAAGCAATCCTCCCACCTCGATCTCTCAAAGTGCTGGGATTACAGGTGTGAACCACTGCACCCAGCCTGTTCATGCTTTAAACAGAAACAACAGCTGATTGTACAGGGCTGAGCACTGTCTGTCCCTGGTGCCTGTGCCGGGGGTGACTTTCCAGCTGGGGCTCACCATTGCAGGTGGGAAGACCACCTGGGGCCAACATGGCTTGGATCGTCAGGTCATGTGGGTCGCTGTGGGGACAGAGGCCAGAAGTGGCAGAGCTGCACAGCAGTGGGGAGGGGCAGGGCAGGGCAGTGAGAGGGCCCTGGATGGCCCATCCTGCCCAGGGCTGCACGGTTTCCACCCCTGCCCTGAGCTGCAGTGGGACACTTGCCATGGGGAATCCTGGGGGACACCAGGGGTGGCTCCTCGGGCTCTCGGCCAGGAACTGGCTCTTTCCAGGGCAGGCTGACAGATCAGTCCCGGGGGCCCTGTAGCCCCCGCTACCCATGCCCATTCTGGGCTGTGTGATGCCTGGTGGGGTTTCTGGGCCTCTCCCTTCCATGTCTGAGTGGCCATGCTGGCATTTGGAGCCTGGGGAGCTCCTGACAGTGCTAGTCCTGCCTGCGGAGGAGGCGGTGCCAGGCTGTTTGGAAATGTCAGGCTGTCAGGTGGTGGCACTGCCCAGCACCTCACCCCTGCTCTCACTCCAAAAGGCTGGACATAGGCTGGGGCCCCAGTGATGGAGCCAGGCTGGGAGCCAGGATACACGGCTGAGCTGGGAGAACTGGCTGGGGGCTGGCTCCTGGGCTGTGGGGGATCAGAGACTGATGGATGAGGGCCCTCTGCTTGCTCCCGCAGTTGTGGCCTTCGTGGGCGGGTCAATGCGGAAGAGTGATGGTACAAGTGGGACCATGGGGCATCGGAGGGATCCCCCAGTAGGGAATCCTGCCTGGGGCACCTGGGCATGGTGAAGACAGATATCTCCTAGCAAGACATGTCCCCCACCCTGCGGGACCAGATGCCTTGGGTTGGGTATGGAGCAAGGCGCAGACACAGAGACCAGAATGGGAAGAGCCAGGGAACTGGGCAGTCTCCTGCTCTGCCTCGGGGCTGCAGTGTCATGGTGGGGCGGGGCTTACCCACACTGTCAGTTTCCCCACAAGGCTTTGGGGTCCCAGGGGTTCAGGGGCCCTGTCTCTCTGAACCCACAGCCCTCCATGCACCCAATAGCCCTCTATGAACCCCACAGTTACCCATGGATTCCACAGCACTTCCGCAGTCCCCCATGTACCCCACAGTTCTCCATACACCCCACAGGTTCCCATGCACCACACAGGCCTCCATGTGCCCCCCACGCTTCCATGAACCCCACAGGCCCTCATGAGTCCCATGGCCTCCTATGATCCCCACAATCCTTCACAGCCCCAGCGCCAGGGCCTCACTTTTGGCTGCTGACTGACCTGCCAGTTTCCTGGAGTTCTTTATCCAACTTCCAAGGTTGCCGAGTCCCGGGAACACCTCAGAAATCTCATGGAACAGTGACATGTTGTCAATCAAGTGGCAAGTTTGACATGTTTGAGCAACGTTCAGCCCGGGAGGTGCTGGGGGCCAATTAGCAGAGATTCCCAGGCAGCAGAGCTGCCGGGCTCAGGGCTGGGGGTGAACAGTCAGTCCAGACGCTGCTGCCCCCACCTGAGGATTTCTCCCCAGCCCTGGACTTGGGGCTAAGGGACTCCTGTACCCTCCCGGCCACCTGGACAGGGTCCCCGCCGTGGCCCAGGCTAGGGTGTTGGCTCAGAGCATACCTGGCCAATGATGGAGCCTGACACACGGGAAGCAGCTCCTTGCAGCACCCCAGGCCTCTGTGGGGCTTCTCTGGGCGGAGTAACCTGGGGAGCAACCCCCTTCTGTAGGGCAGGTGAGGATGCTGCCTTGCGGGCTGAAGGCCAAGGGGAAGAGGCACACTGGGGTCACTCAGGCTGGGCAGTGGTCAGAGCGGCCACCCCTCCCTCTTCACAGGCTCTGGTGACCACTGTTCTGTTTAGCCCCTATCTCTCCCCACCTTTTGAAAAGACAGAGTCTAGCTCTGTTGCCCAGGCTGGAGTGTAGTGGCACAATCAGAGCTCACTGCAGCCTCCAACTCCTGGGCTCAGGTGATCCTCTTGCTTCAGCCTCCGAGTAGCTGGGACCACAGGTGCCTGCCACCATGCCCAGATAATTTTTTTTAAAATTATTTTTTATAGAGATGAGGGTCTTGCTTTGTTCCTCAGGCTGGTCTCAAACTCCTGGCCTCAGGCAATCCTGCCTTCTTGGCCTCCTAAAGCCCTGGGAATATGGGTGTGAGCTACCATGCCTGGCCTCAGTTTCTGCAGGCTCAGTAGGTCTTCCAACTTTCTTGGCAACCACAGGCCGGGTTCCCAAACATTCTCTGATCTTCCCGCCACCTGGCATCTCCCTCCCCAAAGCTCTGCCCCATCCTAAAATCCCCACTGCAGAAGCTGCGCCTTCCAGAAGGTAGATAGGCATGGGCTCTGCAGCTGCAGAGGTACGGACAGGGCCTCCCTGGGCAGCTTCCTGGGAGCTGCACCATGCACGGGTCACAGGACCCTCTTGGGCAGGTTGAACTGGGAGGTGACAGAGACCTTTCTAAGGTCTCTATGCAGGCTGCTGGGTTCCAGTCACATGGTGCCCTCCCACGAATCCCTGAGGGATGGGAGTGTGTCAGCAGCACCTGCAAGGACCAGTGGGGAGGGGTGAGCATCTTTGTTCTGTCCAAGAGCGTTTTTGGAGCATGAGCTCTTGGCATGTGCCAGAGAAAGCCATGTTCGCTTTCCTTTTATGGCTGAGCTTGAGATGTCTGGATAAGAGGGGTCATCAGCCAAGGCACTGATAAGGTCTGCAGGGCTGAGCCTGTAAAGGGCTGAGCCTGGAGTTGGGGGGTACCTCTCCTGCTCAGGCTGGCACTGGGGGTTGGGGTAGGCTGGGTGAGGCTGCTGCTCCTGGCCTGGAAATGTGGAGCCCCCGGGCAGTCCTGCCTGTCCCATGGCTTTGCTGGACACAAGAACTGCCAGATGTCACTTGTGTGGGAATAATTTTGCTGTTTGAATGAAGCTGGATTTGTGAGTGTGCTCACCAGCTTGGATGGATGAGGTCTGACCAGGAGACTGCCTGTTGTCTGTCCTTCACAGAGGGTCCTCCACACCCAGGGTAGAGCTGGGGAGAAGGAGTGCTGGGGAAATACTGAGTTAAACAAGGCTGATGTGTCCTCTGAGGACTTCTCAGTGTGACTGGTATAGGTGAGTCTGAGATGGCCAGGTAGCCGGGGTGTGGACACCACCAGGCTAGGGCTGCTGTCTGTCTCCTCTGCTCAGGTGCCTGTGCAGGGAGGGACTTGGGGGTGGGCCTGGGGAAATTGTGGAAAGTGGGAGTCTGTCACCAGATGCTGTCTCTGAACCTAGCGCCAAGATTTAGTCATTTCATGTCCTCTCTAGGCAGTGCTTACAGGTGTTGGCCAGTATCAGCTGCATTGATTAAAGGAAGAGCTTTCTGACCATTGTCCAAGGCCAGGGCCTGGGCCAGGAGCTCTTCCATGATTGGCTTTGTTTTTTATTTGCTTTGTCAAGGTCAGTTTTTGTTAAAGTAAGTACTTTAACAAAATAATAATCCTTGTCATTATCTGCATGCTCTATACTGCAAATGCTATCAACTTCTTGATCACGTAGATTTCCATTTTCTACTTTTTCTGAGGTTTCCTCTGTTCTGGTATGAAGAATGTATATAACCCAAAGTGAAACATTTTGTCCTTTTTTAGCATCTTGTTCTGCTTGTGGAAGAACTCTACTTTCATATCACCACACACAGGTAATGGCTGAGAGAACTCAAAGTACAAGAACTTGTCTTCCCATCGTGTGAGTCCTGAATTGGAGAAATGTATCTTCACCTTTAGCTATCAGACCACAGACTGAGGCTTGAAAGTTCTGCCACTGAACATTGGAATAGTTTCAAACACTTGTGAAACAACAGTGCCACTGGTCTAATCCAGATGATTCTTTTACAGGTAGCTGTAATAATACACATAGCACCTCTGACTGGGAATAGTTACTCCCTTTTAGTCTCTGGTCCTTACTTCCCCTTAGAAATCTAGGACCTCTTGTGCTTTGAAAAATTTGCCCCTATGTGTAATAAATATGCACGAATCATTACACCAATTTGTCCTTTTCCAGCTTTATGGTGAGTTGCTGCAACATGACTTAGCCATTGGTCAAGATCTTCACAAAAGGTTTGATAACTTCTAGCTGTGGTGGGTTATGGTCTTCAAAAGGATATTGTGCAACTCTGCCATTAAATTTGGCGGTGTCATAATGTCTTTCAGCACAAAGATTGTATATCTTGTAATGGTTTTTATGCTTTGAATCCAGAAACGTTTCTACATCATCAGTATTGTTCCTGTATGCGCCTTCAAGTCTTTCTGCAGGAAATACCATAGCAATAATGTTTGGATAAATATAGGTTAATTCTAAGTCGAATCCATCCTCTTGATATCTCCTTTTGTTTCTGCTAACGATCTCTTTGATGATGGCTGTCATGTCTGGGAGCCTGTGGCTGAGGAAAAAAGAGGAGAGAGATGGCAGAAGCTGTGGGTGGTGGGTCGTCTTCTGCAGGATGGAAATGGTTCTGGGCTTGGCAGTAGCTGATGCCCCTTGCTCTGCTGCCACTTGGCTCTGGACCACAGCTGGGTAAGGGTAATGGCTGCTGGATGGCAGCTGTCAGGTCTCTGAGCCCAAGCCTGCTCATATACATCCAGATGGCCTGAAGCAACTGAAGAATCACAAAAGAAGTGAAAATGGTCAGTTCCTGCCTTAACTGATGACATTATCTTGTGAAATTCCTTCTCCTGGACAATGAGTCTCAGAAGCTCCCCACCAAGGACCTTGGGACCCCTGCCCCCCTGCCTGCCAGAGAACAACCCCTTTGACTAATTTTCCATTACCTACACAAATCCTATAAAACTGCCCCCCACCTATCTCCTTTTGCTGACTCTCTCTCTGGGCTCAGCCCACCTGCACCCAGGTGATTAAAAAGTTTTATTGCTCACACAAAGCCTGTTGGTGGTCTCTTCACAGGGATGTGCGTGACATTTGGTGCTGTGACTCGGACTGGGGGACCTCCCTTGGGAGACCAATCCCTTGTCCTCCTGTCTTTGCTCCGTGAGAAAGATCTACCTATGACCTCAGGTCCTCAGACCAACCAGCCCAAGGAACATCTCACCAATTTTAAATCGGGTAAGCGGCCTCTTTTTACTCTCTTCTCCAACCTCTCTCACTATCCCTCAACCTCTTTCTCCTTTCAATTTCAGCGCCACCCTTCAATCTTTCTCTTCCTTTAATTTCAGTTCCTTTCCTTTTCTGGTAGAGACAGAGGAGAGGCGTTTTATCCGTGAACCAAAAACTCCGGCGCCAGTCATGGACTCGGGAAGACAGTCTTCCCTTGGTGTTTAATCACTGCAGGGACGCCTGCCTAATTACACCTATATTTCAGAGGTGTCTGCTTTGATCCTTCACCTTGGTAGCAAGCATCACCTCCCCTGGGTGGCAAGTACCACCCACCCCCCACTGTGTCTCTACCCTCTCTTTTCTCTGGGCTTACCTCCTTCACTGTAGGCAAGCTTCCACCCACCATTCCTCCTCCTTCTCCCTTAGCCTGTGTTCTCAAGAACTTAAACTCTCACCTGACCTAAAACCTAAACACTAAATGCCTTATTTTCTTCTGCAATACTGCTTGACCCCAATACAAACTCGATAATGGTTCCAAATAGCCAGAAAATGGCACTTTCGATTTCTTCCCTCTACAAGATCTAGGTAATTCTTGTCGTAAAATGGACAAATGGTCTGAGGTGCCTGATGTCCAGGTATTCTTTTACACATTGTTCCTTTCCTAATCTCTGCTCCCATGCAACTCATGCCAAATCCTCCTCCTTTCTCTCCTGTCTGTTCCTTCAGTCTCCATCCCAAGCTCTGAGTCCTTTGAATCCTGCTTTTCTATGGACACATCTGACCTCTCCCTTCCTCCTCAGGCTGCTCCTTGCCAGGCCGAACCAGGTCCCAGTTCTTCCCAAGCCTCCACTCCCCCACCCTATAATCTTTTTTATCATCTCTCCTCACACCCGGCCTGGCTTACAGTTTCATTCTGCAAGTAGCCCTCCCCAACTTGCCCAACAATTTCCTCTTAAGGGGGTGGCTGGAGCTGAAGGGCATAGTCAAGGTTAATGCTCCTTTTTCTTTATCTGACCTTTCCCAGATCAGTTAGGGTTTAGGTTATTTTTCATCAAATATAAAACCCCATCCTAGTTCATGGCCCGTTTGGCAACAATCCTTAAAATGCTTTACCTAGATCCAGAGAGGCCAGAAGGCCATCTCATTCTCAATATGCATTTTATTATCCAACCCACTCCCGATATTAGAAAAAAACTCCAAAAATTAGATTCCAGCCCTCAAACCCCACAAGAGGACTTAGTTAACCTCTCCTTCAAGGTGTACAATAAGAGAAAAGAGTTGCAATTACTTGCCTTCACTGTGAGACAAACCCCAGCCACATCTGCAGCACACAAGAACTTCAAAATGCCTAAGCCACAGTGGTCAGGCAGTCCTTCAGGACCTCCTCCCCCAGGATCTTGCTTCAAGTGCTGGAAATCTGGCCACTGGACCAGGAATGCTTGTAGCCTGGGATTCCTCCTAAGCCATGTCCCATCTGTGTGGGACCCCACTGGAAATTGGACTGTCCAGCTTGCCTGGCAGCCACTCCCAGAGCCCCTTGAACTCTGGCCCAAGGCTCTCTGACTGACTCCTTCCCAGATTTTCTTGGCTTAGCAGCTGAAGACTGGTGCTGCCCGATTGCCTCGAAAGCCTCCTGGACCATCACAGATGCTTTGGGTAACTCTTACAATGGAGGGTAAGTCTGTCCCCTTCTTAATCAGTATGGAGGCTACCCACTCCACATTACCTTCCTTTCAAGGGCCTGTTTCCCTGGCCTCCATAACTGTTTTGGGTATTGACGACCAGGCTTCTAAACCTCTTAAAACTCCCCAACTCTGGTGCCAACTTGGACAACATTCTTTTATGCACTCCTTTTTAGTTATCCCCACCTGCCCAGTTCCCTTATTAGGTCAAGGCATTTTAACTAAATTATCTGCTTCCCTGACTATTCCTAGACTACAGACACAGCTCATTGCTGCCCTTTTCCCCCACCCAAGCAGTTTCTCAGGCTGTTGGTATTCAGTGGAAGCTTCGTACCCCTTACCATCCTCAATCTTCAGGAAAGGTAGAACGGACTAATGGTCTTTTAAAGACACACCTCACCAAGCTCAGCCTCCAACTTAAAAAGGACTGGATAGTACTTTTATCTCTTGCCCTTCTCAGAATTAGAGCCTGTCCTCAAAATGCTACAGGGTACAGTCCACTTGAACTTTTATATGGACGCACTTTCTTGCTTGGCCCCAACCTTATCCCAGACACCATCCCTCTAGGTGTCTTATCTTCCAGTCCTCCAGCAGGCTAGACAGGAAATTTGCCAGGCTGCTAATCTTCTCTTGTCTACTCCAGATTCCCAGCCATATGAAGACATCCTAGCTGGACGATCAGTTCTTGTTAAGAATCTGACCCCCTCAAACTCTACAACCTTGATGAACTGGACCCTACTTAGTCATCTATAGTACTCCAACTGTCGTCTGCTTCCAGGACCCTCCCCATTGGGTTCACCATTCCAGAATAAAGCTGTGTCTGTCAGCCAGCCAGCCTGATCTCTCCTCTTCTTCCTGGAAGTTGTAAGTACTCACCCCTGCTTCCCTTAAACTCCCCCACATTTCTGAAGAACAGCAGTCACACTTATGAGCCTAACATATCCTTTCATTTTGTTAGGTCTATTCTTCCTTACCCTACTCTTTGCAACAGGGCTTTACACAGTCACCCCCGCTACTTGGACTGCATCCCAAAAACTTTTCATCCCTGCTATCTTCTATCTAGCCATACTCCTATTCTTTGTTCTCACCTATCCATAAATGGTGCCCTTGTCTACACTGCTGGCTT